AAATAAAAAACGACAAAGCCCAGGTGGGGTGGCGGGCTCAGCCACAGACCGGACAACTTAGTGAGCACCGGTCTCAAAACAGAACAAAAGGGGCTGGGATGGAGCCAGTGTGAGGCCCCGGCTTCCATGCTCAGCACAAAGGAAAAAGAGCACCAGTTTGTTCTGAAATTCCTTTAACTGGACATTTATTTATATAAATTAGGAGGAAAAAGGTTTAAAGGATATAAAACAAAGTGTTAATGAGTTAAATGAATAGTGGGGGATTTTCCTTCATTTTATCTGTATCTTCTAAGTCTTTTCTAATAAACATTCACCTTGCAGTAAGAAAAACACACACACACACACACACACACACACACACACAGCTATTTTTAAAGTTGTTAAACCAGTTTATACAATTATCTAGGGCTGCTAAAAGGCTGTCCAGGTCCTATGAAAGCTCAAGTTGAACAAATTAGGGTACAAGGGTCCTTCCAGGTTTCAGCTCCACGGCACATGCTTACACAGCCCAGAAGTCTCATGGACGGGAACTGAAAGAAAAGCATAAAACGATTAACTGCCTCTGTCCCGGGCTAACACCCAAAGGAATAATCCAGAATGAGACCTTAAATTAACCTTTAGCTTTGAAACCACTCCACCCACTGAACTAGAAGTTACCAGTATTCACCACCAGAGGGACCCTCGGCTCCTCTGAAACAGTGTAGCATGAAGTTTGACACAAGAAAACGCACAACCATCTCTTCCAAACTTCTAAAAACTTGCATTAAAAGCATCAAAAGATGGCAAAAAAAAAAAAAAAAAGTTTTACAGGCCAAAGATAACTGTATAAAGTCATTTTTAGCGTACTTTTTAAAAAATGTTTCAAGGTCAGGCATGGTGGCACACGCTTCTAATCCCAGCACTCAGGAGGCTGAGGCAAGAGGATCGTTGCAAGTTCGAGACCAGCCTGGGCTACAAAGTGAGCTCAAGGTCAGCCTGGACTGCATATCGAGACCTTATCTCAAAAAGACAAAAACATTAAATTAAATTAAATTAAAATTTAAAAAATAAAGTGTTTCACAAAAAAGGGCCAAGGGCTGGACGTTTTGAGTGGCTCCAATTATGAAAACTAATACAGTAATTTCAAGTGAAGACAGAGATTCAGCGTTCTTCAAGAGAATACGTAGTGGAAGTGCTGAACGGGAACACACAGCTTTTAGTGAGGAAGAGGGAAAAAGCCCTTGCAGGAGGAAACATGTCAAAAACAAACATAACTCAACCACCATATCTGCACAGAGCTGGCCTTGAGAAATGATAGCAAGCCTTGTGCCTGGTTTTTGGAAAGGAGCTTTTGTTCAAAACGTTCAAAAGATCATGAGAATAGCAAAAGTATTTTCTTTTTTTTTTTCTTTTTTCTTTTGGTACCAGGAATCAAACTCAGGACCTTGCACTTGCCAGGCAGGTGCTGTGCCACTGAGCCATACATATCCCCGGCCTGATAAAAGTATTTTCACTATCTTTTAAATAAACTCACGTCTTTTTCTTCATAGTCAGAAAGAACTTACAGCTTGTTCCCACTTTGGTGGGAAAAGTAATGTCTGCGGGTTCTTCTGTTTGTTTTTGGAGACAGGGTCTCATTATGCAGTCCAGGCTGTCCTTGAGAGCTCACTTTGTAGCCCAGGCTGGCCTTGAACTCAGTGATTCTCCTGCCTCAGCCTCCTAAGTGCTGGGATTACAGGAATGCGCCGCCATGCCTGGCTAGTAATGTCATTTTTACCCTTAGGTTTACTTATAAAATGTATGTACAGCTGGGCATGGTGGCGCATGCCTGTCATCACAGCACTCAGGAGGCTGAGGCAGGAGGATCCTTACAAGTTCAAGACCAGCCTGGGCTACAAAGTGAGCTCCAGGTCATCCTGAACTGCATAGCCAGACCCTGTTTCCAAAAATAAATAAATAAAAAAGTATGTGCAATGAAGCCAAGCACGATGGTGCACGTCCCAGTACTGTACTTTGCAAGGCTAAGGCAGGGGTATCACAAATTTGAGCCCAACCTGGGACCCTGCCTCAAAAACAAGTAAAACATTTTAAAAGGGGTGGACATGTCGGTAAACGCAAAGGCCCTGAGTTCAATCCCCAGTACTGCAAAATCAATCCATTAACCTGCAGTGGCATACCAATGCACCATTGCCTAGCTCTGCACTATTGAAATAAACCTTTCTTTCCTCTTTTCTAAATATAGCAATACAAAAAAATATAAAATAAACATAGCAATACAGCTCTTGGACGTCTCCTCAACCAACTTTATATTAACAGCATACTTTCTTCTAAATTTCTGTGGCAACAGCAGCAGCGGAAATGCACGGCTGCAAAGCGTTCTCACAAACTACACACATGTGCTAACCCAGCCCGGGCCGGGGTGACCGGGAAACGCAAGGCAAACTGGCCGCAGGGTCTCCCCCATTTTCTTCCCAGCGCGCACACGCATCAGCGCCTCCTCGGGCAGAAACGACTCCGGGAGAGCAGCCGCCCGCTCGGTCCCTTTCCCCGGACACCGCCTCCCGACTCAGGACCCGCCCTGCGGGAGGAGACCGGCGCCACCCGGGAGCCGGACCCCAGCGCCGCCCTATCCTTCCTACCTCTTTTCCCGCCCGGACCGCACCTTCCGGAAGGGGCGTGGCCAGCGGCGTTCTCGCGTTACGGAAAGAAGGCATTTCCGGTTCCGGTGGCATGGCTGCCGCGTACCCCGAGGGCGGCCCTGCCGCCCAGGAGGGGAAGAGAGAGCAGTTCGGGAGCCGCTTCCTGAGCGATCCGTCGCGTGTCTTCCACCACAATGCCTGGTAACTGCCCTGCCCCTCTCCAGACTTGCGACGCGCCCCCGTCCCGCGCTCCTGGGCGCTTCCGCAAGCTCCGGACAGCTCGGCCGCTGGTCCAGCTACCCCGCCCGAGGTGCTGTCCTCCCGGCAGCGGCGCGCACTGCCCCCGGCCGAGGCTGACGCCCCTGAGCCGCGCGTTTGGTTTTCCCAGGGACAACGTGCAGTGGACGGAAGAGCAGGCTGCGGCGGCCGAGAGGAGAGTGCGGGAGAACAGTGCCCAGCGGGTGTGCCAAGAGAAACAGGGTGCGCCCGGGCGGGACTCCAGGGCACCCACGGCCGGCGCGGGGCGGGGCGCGCCTCCCGGAGAGCCCAGAGCGCGGCGGCCGCCAGGGTCCTTTGTCACTGGCTTGGCGCAGCACGGAGGGGAGCGGCCCAGGAGAGGAGGCAAAGGGGTGGCTTTGTAGCAAAACCTCGCCGGGACATTGGGAGTGCTTTGGTTTTGGTTTTAGGGGTTCTCGCGGTTGTATTGAGGGCAGAGTAACTCTGTTCTGCTGATTGAATTTAAATCATGTAGATGGTAACCGCGTGATCAGGTGAATATTTTTTTTCCCCCGGCTGGTACCGGGAATCGAACTCACGACCTTGCGCTTGCCAGGCAGGCGCTGTGCCGCTGAGCTAAATCCCCAGCCCCCAGGTGAACATTTTAAAGGCTGTACTTTTTGCATTATTTACACTTTGCTTAAAGGTTGCATTGGCACTAGATTTGAAGTAACCAGATTCTAAATATTAGCGGGAGAAGAGGTTAATAACTGGTGCTAGTGTGTCTTTGAAGCGGGACAGTTGACATTAGCTGTAAATAAGTTCTTGAGACCCAACTAATAAAAATGTTTAAATGTTTGCAGTTGATTATGAGGTTAATGCCCATAAATACTGGAATGACTTCTACAAAATCCATGAGAATGGGTTTTTCAAGGATAGACATTGGCTTTTTACGGAATTCCCGGAGCTGGCACCTAGCCAAAACCAAAATCACTTGAAGGATTTGCTCTTGGAGAACAAAAAGGATGAAATCTCGGACTGCCAGAACAGTAAGGATGGACGGGGTTTAACAGTAGAAGAACCCAAATGTTCTTCAACTGGCCTGGAACGTAAAACACAGACACCTCCTGAGGGGGAGACTGTCACTCAGAAATTGAGTCACCTGCAAATTGGTGCGGATAGGCTGCCTGGATCCTCAGCCACCTACCGAATACTTGAGGTAACCTCGTTTTACTGTGCAGGTAGTGGGGTTAAACTGTCATGTTGGGGCTGGGGATTTAGCTCAGCGACAAAAGCGCCTGCCCGGCAAGCTCAAGGTCGTGAGTTCGGTTCCCGGTACCGGAGAAAAACCAAAAAAAAAAAAAAAACTGTCATGTTACGCACACAGCACCTCTGGTGTGGTCTTGCACAAGCCCCTCAGCTTCATCAATGCTAAGATGGAGATAATGTGTATAAAGTGGCTAAAGACGATGTCCGGTACATAGTAAGCCCTCAGTAAATTGTTGCTGTTTTTACTACCCCGTGCAGCGCTGTATTTAAAACAAGGTTGTCGTGCTTCTCTTTTTCTAAACTTTTCGATTGGATTTGTTTGTCCCGTAATCATATAATGGAGCTCAGTAAGAAGCTGTTTCATCTCAAGCCAGGCATGTGGCACACACCTATAATCCCAGCGCTCAGGAGGCTGAGGCAGAAAGAGCGCTGTGAGTTTGAGGCCAGCCTGGGCTACAGAGTGAGTTCAAGGCCAGCCTGAACTGCATAGTGAGACCCTGTCTCAAAAAGATAAGAAAAAAAGAAAAGAAAAGAGAATATATTTTATCTACAGGACCACTTGCCAGAACTCAAAAAGTATAAGGAGAGCACATGTCTTTTTGTCTTTTTCTAGACCAATTGCCCTCTGGTTTGAAAACCTTGTCTTCTATGCTTGTCTCCTTAAGGGTCCCTGAGGTCAAGACAAAGAACTGTAGCTCAGTGGTACAGTGCTTACCTAGCTCACACGCTTGAGTTCCTGGGGCTGTCCCTAGCACTACAACAACAAAAAAAAGGAAATAACCTGAGTACTATAGCTTTAATGTAATTGCACAAGATTAATTACTGTTGGTTGTTGATTATATAGATTCAGGGAATTAGTAGTTGATTCTGTTCTACGATTAATAGTTTACTTCTATCTGCAGGTTGGTTGTGGTGTGGGAAACACAGTCTTTCCAATTTTACAGACTAACAAGTAAGTACAGTATGTTGTCAAATTTATGTGACAGCGAAGAGAAGAAAAGCAGTTTTATTTTTTCCAAACTTTTACTGTATCGGCCAGGCATAGTGGTGCATGCCTGTAATCCCAGCACTCAGGAGGCTGAGGCAGGAAGATCACTGAGTTTGAGGCCAACCTGAACTACATAGTGAGACCCTGTCTCAAAAAAATAAACAACCACAAAAAAACATTTTTTACTATTTTACTATATTGAAGCCTGGTATGATGGCACAGACCTATTATCCCAGTGCTTGGGATGCTGAGGGAGGAGGATCACCACCAACTTGAGGCCAACCTGGGCTACATATTGAGTTCAAGGCCAGCCTAAACTATGTAGTGAGACTTTAAAAAAAAAAAAAAAGAAAATGTTCACTATATCAAACTATCAGCAGTGATCAGCAAGAAGCATGGATTACAGGAGATTTAGATTCCTGTATTATCCTTTCATGGCTTTAATGCTGCATGTATTACCTTTGTTCTCAGGGAAATGAATGAGATTTAAGACCTGTTACCAGGGCTGGGAGTGTAGCTCAGTGGTAGAGTGCTTGCCTGGTACATACAAGTACCTGTATTCAGTCCCCAGCACTGCGTAAGTACATACATACATACATATATACATACATACATAATATCGGGGTGGGGTTGGGGCTATAGCTCAGTGGCAGAGCAGTTGCATAAGGTGTGCAGGGCACTAGTTTTGATTCCCAGCAACACACACACACACACACACACACACACAGTTTTTTAAATAATAAAGCCTGGTGTGGTTCCATTTTTCCTCTCTATCTCTGTGAGGAAGTCAGTGGCTAGTCTGTCATTGCTCCTGCGATAAAGGTGACAAAGCTGGCTCCCCCCTCCCACGCACGCACACACAGTATTGGGGATTAAATCTGTGGCCTTCACACTGAGCTACATCCCCAGCCCCTTTTTATGTTTTATTTAGAGACAAGGTCTTGCTAAGTCACTAGGTTGCCCAGACTGGGCTTGAATTTGTGATCCTCCTGCCTCAGCTTCCTAGAGTACTGGGACTGCAGGCATGCTCCATCATGCCCAGCAGAAAGCTGACCTACATGAAGGTCCTTCATATTCTGTACATTGTTAGCAATCCACATCAAATGGAAAGAAGGCTTCCTTCAAAGATTATAGCCTTGGACACATCATCTGTAATCCCAGCAACTCAGTTGGCTGAGGCAAGAAGATCACACATGTAACGCCCACCTGGGCACTTTAGTGAGATCCTGTCACAAAATAGAAAAGAACTATCAATGAAAAAAAAAAAGGTATCAATGAAGATAAAAATAAATGGAAATGGCATCTTCCCCATGGCTGGCTTGTGCCTTTTGTTTTGTGGTGTTGGGGAATTGAACCCAGTATCTTGTAAGGCAAGAAACATCCTAAGAAAGTTCTCTGCCACTGAGCCACACCTCCAGTCTGGTTGTGCCTTTTTTTTTTTTTTAATTCAAACTATTTTATTATTACTATTCACATACCACCAAGGCAACCAGCTATTTAATAGAACCACAAAAATTTAGAGCTGAAAAAGAACGTAGGATGTAGCCTGTCAGTCTGTTTTATAAATGAGTAACCTGATCCAGTGTGATCTGAAGTCGTACAGTAAGCTGTGAACAGAGCTGGCTCTATGACCTCACTTTCAGTTCGAGGTTGAGCCCCTTAAGATGACTGTGCTCAGCACCTCATTAGAATTCACAGTCGAAGTAATTTGCTTGCTTAGACTTGACACAGGCTTTCTACTACCTGTGAATTGATCTCATTTGGTTTCCCGTGATTGGCAAAGCCTTCTCCAGGATTATATCGTAGGAAGTACGTCTTGTTATTTATCCCTCAATAAGTTGGTCACGCTCTCCATGTCTTTTCCTGACTCTGTACCTTCCCAGAACGTCCCCTTCTATTTCTACTAGGTTGTTTCCTTCCTTCAGGTCCTAGATCAGAAACCTCTAGAAAACTTTCCGGTTAATGCAGTCTAATTGTGTCACTCTGCAGTCCTTGCGACCTTTCTAAGTTTCTTTTTTTAACTTAATGGTTACTTTCTGTCAGAGGTTCCTAACATTTTTTTTAAATAATAAATTCTAGAATTACAAGTTTTTTTATATTTTGATGTCTTCTGAGTAAACGTGTTTCATCCTTGAAACCAATTTAATAGTTATTGATACCAACTTAACATTTTGTATATTGCTGCCCGTGCTGAGACTTGTGTTGCACACGAAGGATAACAAGTAAGACAAGCCCTAGGGTTTTTCTCTGTTCCCCTTTGCCTCCCTGCGTCTGGGTAGCGTCCAGCGCTTAATGGACCGTCAGTGAGTATTTGGTGAACAAATAAGTGAAAGACGTAATCTCTGCTGTCGCGTCGCTGTGCAGTGAGACGGGCAAACCCGGCTGGGTTCGTAGCTCGGAGAAAACGCCACAGTAGCTCGGGGAGAAGAAAGACACAAGGATTCTCATCGTCCGTCAGCCAAGGCCTGATTGAAAGGCAGAGTAGATTTTAACGGACAAAGAAGAAGTTATTTAGAGGGGCTGGGGATTTAGCTCAGCGGCACAGCACCTGCCTGGCAAGCACGAGGTCGTGGGTTCGGTTCCCGGTACCGGAAAAAAAAAAAAAGAAAAGGTTATTTTGAAACTCATCAATCATTTGATAAAACTAATGTGATAGTAGTTATATCTGCAGGACCTAACGAGAGTGTAGATTTTAAAAGCTCTTGACCAAAATATAGTATGTTCTAAGAAGTCGTTTCTTTGAATGAGTGCTACGATATTTTTGCCATTTGATATTTTGACTGCTGCGCAATGAAGACAGGAGACATAGTCTAGTTTGCAACTAACTGTTCTGTTACTTTTCTTCCCATTTCAGTGACCCAGGCCTCTTTGTTTATTGTTGTGATTTTTCTTCCACAGCTGTAGAACTGGTCCAGGTGAGTACAGTGGCTCCTATCAGTAATTTTTAGTAATTGGAGGAAAAGGTGGCCTTCTAAAGATCAAAGTCACTATTTTCCTGTATTATGGCCTCAAAGTAAAAGATTCATTGAAGAAAAAGCCACACACTCAACTACAGACCTCTGTGCAGGGTTCGTGACGTCTCCGAACTTACTTTAAGGGATTGAAATGAGAGGATTCATCCTAGCATGGAGATGCACGCCTGTAATCCCACTTCTGTGGGAGGCTGAGGCAGCCTACGCAACTTAGCTACTTAGTGAAACCCAGTCTCAGAGAAAGGCTGGGGATTGGGTGTAACGGCGCATGCCTGTCATCCCAGCATTCAGGAGGCTGAGGCAGGAGGATTCCCGGGGGTTTGAGACCAGCCTGGGCTACATAGTGAGTTCAAGGCCAGCGTGGGCTACGTAGCGAGACCCTGCCCTAAGAAAAAAAGAAAAAGGGAAGTGCTTTGGCTCAGTCAGGGGAAAGCTACAAAAAACAAACATGTAGACAAACTCAAGCACTAAAGGAGAATTCATAGAAGTTAGGGGATCACTGTGTAGCCCAGGCCTGGAAAGGTATCACACTCCAAGGACAGGGGTGCTGGTGAGGTGGGGCCCCCCCTCCTGTTACAGCACCCTCAGGCTCCCGGAGCTGACCTCTCACTGCCGCGCACCCACGTGTTCATTGTGCCGTCAGACCGCCTGTCCAGTAGGGTTGACGGCGTGTGCACTTGACCCTGACGTGCTTGCGCCTCCCAACCGCATACAGGTCCACCTCACTGAGACCCTCGCCGGACGGACTGGCCCAGTTGCCAAGTCCCGAGTCTGGGTGACATAGCCTAGCTCTAAGTCCGCCTGCCCTGTTTGACCCCACTGGAGCCAGTGAGGAGCAGGCACATTTTTGGAGAAGTGCGACATGACTAGGGGATGGCCGTAAAATGTACCTGTTACCGTAATCTATGCTGCCCTTGGCTCAGGGGCTCAGGAACTGGTAGTTCTGTCTGCGTGAATTACTACTGTAGCTCAAGACCTGCTTGGCTAGGGGGTCACGGCACAGGCTTGCAGTTCCAGCACTCAGGAGGCTGAGGCAGGAAGATTGCTGCAAGCTGAGCTGCATAGCGGGATCCTGTCTCAAAAACCCAGACAAACAAACGAAAAGACCAGATGAGTCCCAAGGCTTCCCTCCTTAGCTGTGTAGTACCGAAGTTTAGGTTAACCTGCTTTGCATCTGGGGAGGTGGATTTTCCCGGGGAATTCTGTGCTCTTTGTGATACTCTGTAGTTGAGAGCTGTCTTAAATCATGCTTTTTAAATATAGTTTGTCTTCCGCCTTAGAGAGTTTTATGCTTTGTTGGTCATTTGCTTTCCCAGTCCTTCTCCAGGCCTCAGGTCTGACTCCGTGCAGGATAATGACAAAACAGAAAATCAAAGGAGTTAGAGTACTCAGTTTTAAAAGTAGCACTTAGATTGTGCAGGGTTTTCCCCGGCTCGGTCTGGTTCTCACGCCGGAGTCTCCCTAGAGAAGCGTGCGCTGCAGTGGCTGGAAGTGGGTTCCTCAGCGACAAGCAGCAGCAGGTGACACTTAAGCAAGAGAAGTTTTCCCGGGTGTTTTCACATTTCCCGACTCGCGTGTCTCTGCTTACCGCAGACAAACCCAGAGTATGACCCGGCTCGCTGTTTCGCCTTCGTTCACGATCTCTGTGATGAAGATCAGCGGTACCCAGTGCCTGAGGACAGCGTCGATGTCATTGTTCTCATATTTGTTCTCTCAGCAATTGTTCCAGACAAGTAAGTTTTAGGTCCCTCAGCTAATAGCCTAACAGAAACAAATCTTTGCTCAGAGACCTTGCAGTGCAGAGGTCTCAATAAAAAGCGTTTCCCTTACGTTCTAACAGAGGTGAGTAAGCCACGGGCGAGCCTGACAGCTGCCTCTGGTTTCAGTTACCTCGAGGCTTGGTGGTTCCCGTCACGGCTGTGGCGGAAGAGCAATCTGTAATTCAGAGTGTCATCATCCAGAGGCCTGCTGTTTCCAAGCTGCCGGGACTACAGTCGTTGGATAGTATCTCGTTATTAGTCTTTAAGTACTTGAAATAAAACAAGCTTATTAACAGTACAGAACTTACATTGGAGTTCAATGAGGGTGTTTTCTGAAGCTTAAATTTTTCAGAAACTGCGTACAAGCCAGGCATGGTGGCGCACACGTGTAATCCCAGCACTTGGGAGGCTGCAGCAGGAGCATTGCAAGTTTAAGGCCAAGTCTGAGCTACATAGCAAGACCCTGTCTCAGAGAAAGAAAAAAAGGCTGGGTACAGAATTCCACAAAATCAGGTTTCGATCAGAGGGAAGTCAGACGATGCACCTTGGAAGACATCATTAAAACCTATGTGCAGGGCCCTGGGGGTGTAGCTCAGAGAGGGGCTTGCTTAGATGTGGAGCCCTGGGGTCAGTGCATGGCACACACGAAGAAAACCAAGGTGCGCTGGCACACACCTGCAGTCCTACCCACTGAAGAAGCTGAGGCAGGAAGGTTGCATGAGGCCAGCCTGGACGATGTAAAGACACCTTATCTCTTTTTTAAAAAGGAAAGGACAGACAAACCTCAGACCTCGTGTACATGTCCGTGAAACTGTCTCAGGGCAGTAGAATCAGAGATTTCGACACCATTGACCAATCCTAAACAATCCCTTGACATTACGTGAGTCAGAGGTAAGGGGCTTGACTCGTACCATGGTCTGGATATGCCACACACCAAAACGCTGGGATTAGCGTAGTTCCTGAGAGACTTCAAAATCTGTACTCTGAGGCAAGAGTATTGCCACCAGTTTGAGGCCAGCCTGGATAGTGAGACCCTGTCTCGGAGGGGGAAAAAACCAGCTGTCTACTTCGTGAATGTCGGGCAAAGGTTCTGAAGTGGTTAGTGTCAGAGATCGAGATAAGCAGGTATCGGGGAATCAGACCACGTGACTGCAGACGCCCAGGACCGCTCCTGGCTGCACCGCGCTGGAGCTCGAGGCGGCCGACCCAGTTGTCTGGCCTACTTCTCTGGGGTAACATCAGTCGTCCAAGCTAACGGGATGTTATGACACCTAAAATATTTCTGAAAGTGTGTAGCGTGCTTACTCCCAAATGTATCAGTGCTTAATCCTGTATCGTGATTTTTGAAAAAAACTGCGTATATTAGCCTCCTGTCACTATAAAGTAATGCCTGAAGCAATCAACTGGTAAAGAGAAAACGCGTATTCTGACTTTCGATTTCCAAGCTACGCCCTACAGTGACTTGGCCCCATAGCTCTGAGGCCTGCAGCAAAGCAGCACGCTGTGGGGGGAGTGCGCTGTGTCGTGGCCAGGAGGCAGGGAGGGAGGAAGAGCCCGCGGGCCCCTCCAGTGCCCGCGCAGGGCCTAGCGACCCCGCTCGGCCCGCCTCTTCAGAGTTCTACCTCATCCCAGTAGCGCCATGCTGGGGGCCAGGCCACGTACTTCCTTTGGGGAATGCTCCAGTTCAGGACCTAGCAGTGCCCCTGGAAAGTGCAGTCACGTGAAGCACTCCAAGCAGTATTCATTTGCATGCCAATTGCATCCCCACCTAAGTTGCAAATTCGTTTTGTGTTTTTTTTTTTTGGTTTTTTTTTTTTTGGTTTTTCTCCGGTACCGGGAACCGAACTCACGACCTTGCGCTTGCCAGGCAAGCGCTTTGTCGCTGAGCTAAATCCCTAGCCCCTAGTTGCAAATTCGTTGAAACCAGGCCTGGTAGCGCCTGCCTGTAATCCCAGCATTCTGGGAGCGAAGCAGTCCGCACCGGACGCTCGGATCCAGTGGGGCAGCAGGTGAGTCGCTAGCAGTCCCCGTACAGAATGACTGGGGCTCCCAGAGCCCTGGTGTGATCGCAGGACCAGAAGGAAGTGAGCCGGAGCAGTAACGCTCCCAGAGCAGGTCGTGTTGGGCCTCTCCTGACTGCAGCAAGGGCAGGGCGCTCTGGTCTCGGGGCTGGTGTGTCAGGGTTAGGAAGTGCTTTTGTTTCGGGGGGGCTGTGCTGCAGTGAGAAGGAGCGCTGTACCTGAGGAGACCTAACCTTCTGTGCTGTCCCACAGGATGCAGAAGGCCATAAACAGGCTGAGCCGGCTCCTGAAGCCCGGAGGGTTGATGCTGCTGCGGGATTACGGCCGGTACGACATGGCGCAGCTTCGGTTTAAGAAAGGTATTTCGCCACGCTAAGCAAAACGACGATATTGTCATCAGCATTTAGGTCAATAGAAAAAGACAACAGCAAGGAAAGACAGTTAACTTTAGAAGTGCTACTTTCAGAAAGACGTGATTACATAAGTCATTTTAAATGCAGTATGACAAAAGATGCCATTAAAAAGTTAGAAGAGGACTGGGGTGTAGCTTACCGGCGGACCACGTGCCCCGCATGTGCAAGGCCCAGGGTTCCATTCCTGGCGCGCTAAAGAAGTAAACAAAAGGGCAATGGGTAAAGCCCAGGCTTCGGCCCCCAGCAGGGGAAAAAACTGAAAGACGAGTGGCAGATTGAAGAGATGTTTTCACTGGATAAAACACACACTGTTGTCTTTCCAAAGAGTTGTCATGAAATTGACCAGGGAAAGAAAGCTCAGTGGCCCACTCCAAGAACAGTTCATGCAAGAGCACATCTAAATGGCCAGGAAATGAGACCTCAAGGACGATAGAAAGGGTGATTCTGCGTCACTTTTCCTGTCAGTTCAAAGAAAGAGGTGCACATCTCCTGGTGGAAATACAAAATTGCGATGGCCTTTTTCTCCCCACTTCTGTCCTGGGGATGAACTCACAGCCTTCACATTGACCTACATGCCCAGCCTTTTTTACGTTTTGTTTTTTGTTTTTTCTTTTTTTCTTTTTGAGACAAGGTCTCACTAAGTAGCTCTGGCTGGGCTCAAACTTGAGATCCCTCTACCACAGCCTCCGGAGTGCTGGGGTTACAGGTATATACTACCATACCTGCCTCCGCCATGGCCTTTTGGGTTTTTTTTGTGGTTTGGTTTGGTTTGGTTTGGTTTGGTTTGGTTTGGTTTGGTTTGGTTTGGTTTGGTTTTTGAGACAGGGTCTTACTGTATAGTGCAGGCTGGCCTTGAACTTGCTTATATAGCCTAGACTGGCCTCGAGCTAACAGTGGTCCTCCTGCCTCAGCCTCCCAAGTGCTAGGATTACAAGGGTGCACCACCATGCCCAGCTATTCTTTTTAAATTAATTAAAGTTTATTGGTACATTCTAGGTATACATAATGGTCACATTCATCATAGGAAATTTGAACCTGTACATGATACATTGTTTTTCCCATCCCCCTCCCCTCCCTTCAGTCCTTCTTCCTGTCCTTATTTACAGAAGCTTTGTTTCCACTTTTTCCTTCTCTCATTTTTTTCTTTTCCCTCCCTTTCCCCTCCCCCTGGCTAGTTCCCCTCCCCTGTAATTTTCTTCCCATTTCACAGTACCTGTTGTACATTTTGGTCCTTATTTACACTTTCAGTTTCTCACACCAGAGAAACAATGCAGTGTTTACAGGCGTGTGTCCGATGCCATGGCCTGACATTGTTCAGTCCAACAGATCTTTGGGGCAATCATTCAACATGGTTTGGTTTGGAGGCACATAATATATATGTTTAAGCAAAATCTTGGAAACAAAGTTAAGGGCTCTGAATAGAGGCGTATTTTAAATACACCTAGTGTGGCCCCCATACCACTGATCTTGGAGGATTTTCCATGCTTTATTCCAAGTGAGAAAAGCAATGTGCAAATGATTATTTTAACTTACCCCCGTGAGTAATAGTCCCTGGGAGAAAATAAATATATATGTGTAATTATGTAGACCTTCAGAAGTATATAAACGGATTACATGCCAAGTTGTTAGGGCAGGAGGGTTGGCAGGTGAAAAGGTGTGCCCATGATGAAGACAATGAGTTACATGTGCATGTGTGAAAAGACTTAAAAAAAAAAAAAAAAACGGGCATAGTGGCACACACCTGTAATCCCAGCACTTGGGAGGCTGAGGCAGGAGGATTGTTGTGGGTTCGAGACCAGCCTGGGCTACAAAGTGAGCTCAAGGCCAGCCTCTACTGCGTAGCGAGACCCTGTGTCAAAGAGACCCCCCCCCAAAAAAAAAGTGTGTGTGTGTGTGTGTATGTGTGTGTGTGTGAACACAGAAAGACATCCCAGGGAAGCTTCACCAAAGCGTCATGGGACTGTGTTGGACTTAGCAGCTGTGTGGCTTGTGGGCTTTTTTTATTTTGCTTTTTTTTTGTTGTTACAGAGTTTTGTTTGTTGCTTTGTTGTTGTCATTTGTTTTAGCAAAGTTTATGCCATTAAGTCAGCCCAGGAGTGGGATAATAAAACAAGTTGTTTTCCACATGTTACCTGACATTGAAGTCGGTTGTTCCCATATAGCTGCTCTTGTCCAAAGCACCATTCCCTCTTAAGAGAGGAGCTGCAGGCTCCTGCAGGGTACTGAGCGTCACCAGTACCAGAGCCCGCCCTCCACCCGAGAAGTCCGTATCTTGACGCAACTTGACAAGTGAGGAAATGCAAAGACATGCTTTAAAGTTGCCCTGACTTCCATGCTGTCACTCTGCAGGTCAGTGTCTGTCTGGGAATTTCTATGTAAGAGGTGACGGCACCAGAGTTTACTTCTTCACTCAAGGTATGAAAACGTGATCTTCATTTATGCCAAAGGGCCCCACGTGACCAGGTCACGTGGTCTTGTGTGTGTCACAAGGAGTCATCGGCCCCACCTGCCCTTCCGGCAGCCCGCCTCCTGCGGGTCCCCGCACTTCCACATTCACTGCTCGCGCTGGCCTTCAGCTCACGGCTTTGCTTTCTCCCCTCTCCTGCTTTATCCATCGTGGGAACCTGCGGGTCTCGCGGGGCTCCTCCCCGTTCAGGCTGGTCTGCCTGCACTCCAGGCTGTGCCTCCGGCACCGCTGCGTTAGAGCGGGGAGCCCGGAACGGCCCCCTCTGCGGCGCGACCTGTCCTCCACCGGTGCTCCGTGAACACTCCGCTCCCAGGGTCTGCGTGGAGTCACTACCTTGGGCCTTTGCCTAAAGTGACGACGCCCCTGAAAAGTTGCTTTCACAAATACGGAAATTTTTGTTTGCAGTTTTTTGTTGTTTTATAAAAAGAATAGGAATATAAAGCCCTTGTTTACCATCAATCCTCGGTATTGTAAGAAAAAGGAAAAGGTATATATGAAACTTCACTAAAAAATAAGAAATAAAATCTTGGGGGTGCTGGGGATTTAGCTCAGTGGCACAGCGCCTTCCTGGCATGCGTGAGGTCGTGAGTTTGATTCCTGGTACCGGAAAAAAACAACAACAACAAAAAAAAACAAGAAATAAAATCTTGGATTCCAGGCCACGCTGTGAAAGTCCCCCCAGCCCAGCGGTAGCTTGCTGTTGCCAAGGCTCCACCGCGTGCGTCGCTGAGCGGCTCCGCTAAGACCACTTACAGTGCATAGTGGCAGCCTCTCCCACACCCCCTGGCAGCGGGAGAGGTAGTTGACGAAATGCCTTTTCTTCGTGGAAAAACAGATACACGTCTTCTCTTTCCAAACCAGATGAGCTGGACACGCTTTTCACTAGCGCGGGCCTGGAGAAGGTGCAGAACCTGGCGGATCGCCGACTGCAGGTGAACCGAGGGAAACAGCTGACAATGTACCGAGTCTGGATTCAGTGCAAATACCGAAAGCCTCTTCCGCCCAGTCCCACCTGGGAGGCAGGGAGCCGCCTGCTCCTGACGTGACTCGGGCTCTTTGTGTTCGGGTTTCATAAAAAGAACATCTATAAATGGTGCATTGTTAACGCTGGACAGTTCAAGGATTCAAACGGGCCAGGCGTATGGCCCACGCCCGTAATCCCGGAGCTCCGCAGGCTGAGGCACGACGATCCCTGGAAGTTCGAGGCGAGGCCGGGCTGCATAGCAAGATCCTGTCTCAAAAAGAATTCATACAAGGACTGGGGTGCAGCTCAGCCTAGCACATGCGAGCCCCGAGGTTCTGACCCCAGAACAGCAAAGAGAAAAATTTTAACCCTGAACCTAGGAAAATGTACTTATTAAAAAGATAAACAGTTTTGTCTAATTTGTGAAGCCCATTGACATTATTGTAAACTTTCTCTTCTTCTGGCACTGGGAATCAAACTCAGGACCTGTGCTTGCCGGGCAGGCGCGGCGTCTCTGAGCTGTATCCCCGGCCCTGACGTAAACTTTTTGCAAGTTGTTTGAGTTCTCCGTCTTGTCATTTTGTAACTGAATGAATTTTTTAATAAATGGAATTTTATACCTAGGAATTTAAAAACAGACTTGTCAAGTGTTGGCGGTGCCCACCTGTAACCCTAACACCCTGGGCAGCTAAGTAAGGAGGATCACAGGTTGCCCAGGCTAGGCAGCTTTACAACTTGGGAAGACCCTGGCTCAAAATAAATAAATACAGAAAAAGGGCGAGGACATAGTTCAGTACAAGGGCCTCGGGTTTAGTCCCCAGTACCATAAAAAAAAAAAGAAAAAAGGGCCAGCCTGTGCTTAGTGTGTGCGAGGCACTGGAGTTTCATCTCTAGCGCACAAAAAGATTTATTCTGGGTGAGGTTGTTAGGTACAAGTGTCCCTTTGCTATTAAGTTTCATTAAATTATTTTCAAAATCCAGTATCTTGGCTTTGCAGTTATAATTCATACCAAAAAGATTACTAAAGATCCCAGTCAGTCGGGAGAAAGCACATTGGGAGGAAACCTCTGTCTTAGGGTGCTTCCCCTAAAACAAGCTTCAAAATGTGGTCTCAAAAAAAAAAAAAAAAATGTGGTCTCCTTATTAAATAAATACTGTGATCTCCATTTTAAATTCTGGTTCTCTGGCGTTTTCACACATTGCTCCCCGTCTCGTGTGTGTCTGAAGTATCAAAAGGGTGTGTAAATGGCCATCATGGTGCACACCTATAAGCACAGCACTCAGGAAGCTGAGGCAGGAAGATCACAAGTTTGAGGCCAGCCTGGGCTGCATAGTGAGTTCAAGACCAGCCTAAATTACAGAGTAAGACTGTCTCAAAAAAACAAAAAGTAAATAAATATTCTAATTGCCTCATTGTTTTTCATTGTTTCACCTAAGTGTGAAAATATGGTAAGATAAGCGTTTTTTTCAAATAACTCAAATTTAAGAAAGTAGGGATACTTTCCATAATGAAAAGAGAAAAGAAAACTTAAGACTCAGGGATATCTGGACATGGTGGCACTTACCCGTAATCCCAGCACTTACGGATGCTGAGGCTGGTGGATCCCAATTCAGGCCCAGTCTGGGCACTTTAAGGATTTAGTGAGACTCTCAGAAAAGCAAGATCACAGGGTAATGGTTGCTACATTGTGTCAACTTGAGAAGTTTAAAAGTTTGGGGCC